TTTTTGAGACAGGGTCTTATTCTGTTGCCCAGGCTGGAGTGCAGTGGTGTGATCATAGCTCACTGCAGCTTCTACCTCCCAGGCTCAAGTGATCCTCCCACCTCAGCCTCCCAAGTAGCTAGGGCTACAGGTGTGCACCACCACACCTAGCTAATTTTTGTATTTTTTGAAGAGACAGGGTTTCAACATGTTCCCCAGGCTGGTCTTGAACTCCTAGGTTCAAGCAATCCTCTTGCCTTGGCCTCCCAAAGTGCTGGGATCACAGGCGTGAGCCACTGCACTCAGCCTCCATTTCTATTAATTAAAACCACATCTTGAGTCAGTGATCCTCTGTTTGCCCCATCTAATTCACTTACTCCCTTGACCATCCTGCTGTGTGCCCTGGGAGGCGACCTGTGGACTACAGTGACACTTGGCTGCCCTCTGCCTTTCTGGTGGGTTCAGCCAACGGGAAACCCAGAAGGACATCCTAAAGTGAGGTCAGGGTACTTTTTCAGTTCTGTGGGTTGCCTCCGGCTGCTCAAAACCCTCTCTTGAGAGGATACTGTTTCTTTCAGGGCAGCCTTCTTCACACAGCTCTCTCCTTAAGGATTCAGGTAACTGCTCCCTCTTCTCCTCCCTGGGGCTGTTGCCAGGCAGATTATTACACCATGCCTTGTCATTTCCCTACAGTGCCCCACCCACACCTTTATACTTAGTCTTCATTAAATCCTTGAACTATCACAGTTTCAGTGCCATCAGTTTCTCGTTGTGAACTAATACACACTTCCTCTTTAGAATTAAAAATCACTTCTTTCAAGAAACTTTCACTTATACATCTTATAAGATGTGATCTTTTCCTCCTCTGAACATAAAATATCACTTTGTCTATAGCCATTAATTGAATTCTGCATTTTAGTTAGGGGTTTGTCTAATCCCCCTTTTTTAGTATAAAGTCTATAATGACAGAGGGACCAGCTTATTCATCTTGCCCCCCAACCCCACCACAATACCTAACAGTATCTTACGTAGTCTTAGATATTGATACATTGATACATTGATACATTACTTGCAAAGACAATGTATACTTGATCCTAGATCCTTGATACATTACTTGCTAAGTAAATGAACATTTTTTTACATATCTCCCAAGAGTTATTTTTATTAACCTATACAGAGTCCTTATCACTTCAGGAAGGAAATTGGCTATTACAAAGAGTAGACATATTCTACAGGGGATGGAGTAAATCATGTTGATTTCTACTTAACTACATCCTCAATAGATAGTCCTGAGAAAAATTAGTTGAAAATGACTTGATTGAATTTCAGATGGTGAATTCCATATAACATTTCCAAACGTTCTAAATTCTATGTCCACCTCTTTCAAAGTTCAACTTCTCCAATAGGAGTTTTCTATTTAACCTCACCTTGCTATGATAGATGCTTTATGCCACAATCAATCCAAATATCATATAGTATGTTATTTTCATTGCTCTTCTATTTTATAATTATTTACCAATTCTTTTTGTCAACTTGTTTGTCTTAACAGGGAACATGTTTTCTAATTCTTTTGTATCTCACCATACTCTGGTATTTTACAACTGGTAAGTGCTTCCTTAATAGATCACCAGAATTCTGAGAAGTTTAGAAAATTCACCATTCCTTTATTTACTAAATTATGGTTTCAAAGTATGGAGTTATCTTCTTCATAAGAAGAAATTAAAGCCAATCTTGATATTATGATAGCACTTCAGGAGACTTAAGAAATAGCTATTGCTGAATTATTCAAAACAACGAATAATTGACAAAGTCGTTAGTGATATTTCTAAAAACCCACATATTCTGAGAGGAATGTTTGCATTGACTCACCATCAGTTTTTAGAAAGCACGCATGGCTCTCCTTCTGTTGATATCTCTCTTGATTTGGCAAAGAGAACAGTGAGGACAGCAAAGGGTTACCATATAGTCATCACAAATAGATCCCTGTTTGAAAACAAAAAAGAAATAAAAATATAAAATTCACCTATTTGGAATTAAGACTTGCCACATCTTGAAGAGAAGCAGAAGGCACTGCTCTTTAGGATTCAGAGTTTGGACGGATACATTTAGGAAATGTTACCTCGCTTTTTCATATAAATGTTGTCTCATTTTATGACAGAAAATATTTTTCTATACTTTACATTTCTGAAAATGTAAGAAGATGTCCAACCAAACTATCAAGTATGAGAGTTAAATATCTTTAGGAAGTGGAATTTCAAAACTCTTTTCTCCTGGACCTCCCGTCTGTCACAGGAAGTTAGTAGAGGATGTGCTCCACCAAAATGTGGGTGTAAACCAAGGAAGAGGAAGATACGGGATATAAGAAGCAGGAGTCTAACATAGGAGAGAAGCTAATGGAATCTCCAGGGTCATGGTGAAGGGCGATCCCAGGATGAGAGCTAAGCACTAGGAATAATGGGCAACTAGTTCAAAAGGTAGTAGGACTGGAAGTGATTTCATCATGAAGATGAAAATGATAAAACATCTACGTGTTGAAGGTGTTGGGAAGAGATTTAGAAAACTGGCAAACAATTTGGGGTTAAAGGACTCATAAGTAAATGGAGGAAAAATACTAACAAAAAACTCAATAATTACTAATACCAGGAAAAACAAAATTGAGCAGGAAAAGCAATCATATTTACTACATGACTCAGCTCTGAAGTTGAATAAAACAAATATAAGTATCCTAACGTAAACACTGAATATGGAATTAACCATATAACTATATTGGAAAGAATGGGATGGGGGAGAGGGCACATGTGTGTGGTGGGGGGAGGAGGAGAAAACAGAACTAAATTCACATCTTCCCTAGTAGGAGGTTAACAGATAATGCCTCTAACTAAAAGTCAAGAAGTAGCAATACAAGTGTGTGATTTGGAGATATGGAGAAAAATTCCCAAGACATCAGCTCTAGGGAAGAAGTAAGGAAGAAACTTTTGGGGACTACTTTGTAAAATTAGATGATTTTAAAAACACTTTGTTTCAGGGTTTTGATAAATAAAGATATTAAAGCTGCATTAGGAAACAGTGGCATTTACATTCCTGGCATTTAATCGACTTGAAACTGAACACAGTCATGGGCAGGGCACGAGATGAACCCTAATCTCCATCAAGTGCAGGGTCTACAAACCATATCAAGCACTGATCTTAGAAGCAGTTTAGGGAGGGTCAGAACCTTGTAGCCTCCAGCTCCATGACTTCTAAACTATAATTTCTAATCTTGTGGCTAATGTTAGTCCTACAAAGGCAATCTAGTCCCCAGGCAAAAAGGAGGTCTGCTTTGGGAAAGGGCTATTACCATGTTTGTTTAAACTATAAACTAAGTTTCTCCCAAAGTTAGTTCAGCCTACACCCAGGAATGAACAAGGACAGCTTGGAGATTAGAAGCGAGATGGAGTCAGTTAAGTTAGATCTCTTTCATTGTCTCGGTCATAATTTTGCAAAGGCAGTTTCACCACCTCAGTCTCCTGAAAAAGAGTTTCAGGCTAGGACTACAGGCGTGCTCAACTGCACCTAGCTGAAACTATTTCATATTGTCACTGAAAAATATTTACCATTTTGTGAATTACAAAAAAAAAAAAAAATGCTTACTGACAGCACTTGTGAACAAAATTTAAAAATAATAAAAATTAAAACAATTTTAAATGCATGCTATAGATAATTTTAATGACAAATTGAAACACAGAACAATATTAAGTGAAAATAACAATCTAATCCCTTTCTACCCAATGTCATTACGAGAGATAAACTATTAATAATCTGCTGTGTATCCTCTTTCCTTAGCTTTTGTTCTATGCCTATGACTCATATAAATATAGATTAGACGAAGATACAGCTATGAACGTAGACATATAGAGTTTGGCATTTCAGGAGTTCTTTCGTTTTTTAAAAATGAGGTCATGCTATCCCGTAACTTATTTTTCCTACTTGATATATGATAGACAATACTGTAAGACATTTCTATGTCTTGTTTTATGTCCTTGAGAGCTAAATCTTGTGACCATATGGGGATACTTTCTTTTGGTTTCCACCATCCAGAGGACAGGAATTTGGGGGTTCATGTCATAGTCCAAAAAATTTTTCTTGAGCAGATAAAAGCCTTGTGAGCTTGAAATTGGCTTCTCTAGGCTCCTTCTGGAAAAAGCAGTAGAAACTGCTCAGTGCTATATAGCTCAGCAGCTAAGGTGTTATCTTTTTGGCAGTGGCGGCCTGGGTTCAATTGTTGGCTTCTGGAATGATTCCTTTCTGGTTTGTTATTTGTGTAACTTTGCCATTTATTGAGGTGTTTTTCCACCAATGGATAGCTTCTGATTTCCCCTCTTGAATTTTCCTTTCTCTGAACTACCTCGTGGAGATTGTAAATCTTGTAAAAAAGAAACTGCTTGCCATGTCCTTGAAGAACCGAGGAGGTTACCTTTGGTAAAGTTCAGAAACCAGAAATATTGGCCGCTTGGCATGGCTAAAGTCGGGTAATAAGATATCTGAAAGGATTTATTTTTTAGAGAGTACTTTGTTAAAAGTCAGCTTAATTAAAAGTGGATAAACAAGCTATAGGTATATTTAAAAGGCCTTTATGTTTTTCTCTTCTTGGAACTTGTTTTTCTGAAAAAAGATTTTTTTCTTCTCAGTTGACTGAATTATTTTTCTCCTTTTGTTTTTTTTTTTTTTTTTTTT